TGGACATTGAGGCCTGCAGTGCATTAACATGTTAAATTTTGAGGCAGCAGCAACCCATGTTGAAATTCTTCATTTTAAATGTTAATATTTCCTATTTTTCCACGTTTCATAGACAAATTTACAGAAATCCATTATTTCACATACAAATTTATAGAAATCCATTATAAAAGCTCCAATGATATTTATGTTGGAGAGAAAAATCTTGGAGGTGAATATCACAAAGATTATAAACATTGCTGGAGACATTAGCTTCCTGCAACTCAAGGGCGGAGACCCAAAATTTANAAGAAATTCTGAATGATGGAGCGGAACAACGTGTTCGTTGTCCACCCCCTATGAGCCTCCATGTTGGCCTTAAAATGGAGCGTCTCGCTCACTGCGTTGGCGACATGGGGGTCCTATTAAATGGAATCAACCCTGATCACCCGGTTCATATGGTCAGTGGCCCGAGGATTCCACTCTACAGCTTCTACCATCTGCGGAGGGGGAGTTGGAGTCTGCCTCTGCTGTTGTTGTTGTTGTTGCCGCTGCTGCTGTTGTTGTTGCCTCTGCTGCGGTTGTTGCTGTTGGGATGGAGGGGGTAACCCACTACCTCTCCCGCTTGGCTGTTGAGCGGAGGAGGCCCTGGATCCCCTACCCGGGCCGTCGTGCCTTTGTTTGATCCTCCTCTCCTCCTCGACTTAAGGATCTCGGTCCTGCACTTGACCCTGACCAGTGGGCCTCGGAGGCGGGGGGGTTGGCGCTAGTACCTGTTGATGGGGCGCTACTGGCTGACCCCCGTCCTCTCCCGGCGACAAGGGTCTGCCTTTGCCTCAAGAATCCTAGGTCGATGCGAGGCGTGTGTGACATGGCTACCTCGGGGGCATCCTCTACGTCTAGCGACTGAAGGATGTAGAAATCGGGCCACGAATCTCTCCCTGAAGTCCCCACCTCGGCGTGCGAAGGAACCAAAGCCTCTCTGGCCCCGAACTCCTCAACGTCATGGACACCCTCTACTTCCGCCTCGGTAGCCCTGTCGAGGTCTTCCTCCAAGTTCTCCTCAGCCTCTTGTTGTGCAGCCTGATCGAAGAGTTCAAACCACTGCGATGGCTCGAAAGGCTGGGGGAGCTGTGAGAACTTTTTATACCCAGGAGTGTAGTTGAGGAGGATGTGAGCAGCCCGACCAAATCCGTCGTCGCCAACAAATCTCCAAACAGTGACAAGGTCAGCAAAGTTCACCAAGGACCAAGGGGGAGGGGCAACTTCCCAGGCGAGGACGTCTGCACAAGAGAGAATGTTATTAACACTTCTAAAAAAAAGAATCCCAAGGACAAAAATAGTAGACTCGGGGAGGCCGACGTACTTGTCGTTCTCCATTCAAAGGGGCACATCAGACCACTGTACTCGGGACCGGTCCCCCGCTGCCAAGATCTACGAAGAATCAGAAGGTCATCCTTGTATCCTTTGTCCAAGTCAGGGAGGTGAGTTACAAGGTACATGGAGGGATCTCTGGCTTTGAGGTAAAAATTATGCTGAGGCATAACCCTCAACAGGGAGTAGCAAAAAAGGATATCGTTGAGCCCAACGTTTACCCCGAAACGGTTGTTAAGCTTTAAGACCCTCATTATTATCCTAAATACGTTAAGGCAACACTGCCCCGGGAAGAGTCTGAAATGGACGAGGAACTAGAGGAGTAGAAGAGACAGGGGGAACCTAACTCCACCCTCTATGATTGCCTTAGTGAAAAATAACATCTCATCCTTGGCCCCGACAATGCAGTTGTGCAAAACTAGGTCATACTCATCTATACCTACGTTTGGGGAAATGTGGTATCGAGCCCTAAACTTATTAATCTGCTCCTCTCCCTTCACTTTGTACTTCCCGGGCCTCGAGGAACTGACCTGGGAATCCTCGGTGATAGGCCGACGTCGGGGCATCTCCAAAGAAGATAAAAACTAAAGAGGAAGGACAATTTTTTTTACGAAGATCCCCTAGGGGTTTCCTGAAGGTGGGTCATAGAACGACAAACCAGAAACACCTCCGATTATCGGAGAATCAAAAAACAAAAAACAAAAGAGAGAAAGAAGAGAAGAAGAGACAGAAGGGCAGAGAGAAGGAAAATACAATGACTCACCAGAACTTGAACAAAGGTTTTCTTCAAAACTTGGAGTGGTTCCTTCCTCCAAGAGGTTCATAAGCAAGGATGAGTCTGCTGGCCTTAAGACTCCGGTGAAGATTGGTTTGTAGACAATGTAAGGAAGTGGGTCTCTGGCGAGATTTCAGGCAAGGACTCTCTAAAGAGTTCGAAATGGCGAAGTGTGAGAAGGAGAGAGAGAACTCATTTATATAGTACACATCCCCATCATTGGGCACGAAGCATGAAGAGGCGCATTTAGTGCGCACGACCTCCTAAGCAGAGGAAAGTGGTTAGAGACAATGATGAAGTGGTTGGGGTAGTTGCAGAACCCTTCCTCTCCTTATGACGCTTGTCCTCGGAGTCAGAAGATCGAAGGTTGGGGGCAGTTGATGGGACATTTTTCGGACACTCCAAGATAGCGACACGTGTACTCGGTGTCAAGAAATACTCTCTGTCGTGATCACGACACGTGCTTGTCGGATCATGATCCCTTTTCCCCCGAGATGGTACTATGCATAAGGATCTACGACGTCGGTATGCACGGACGACATGTATTCCTTGGTCGATTGGGGGGTGGGTACATCGACCCTGACTGTACTAGGCCCTCGGCACCGATGTGTACCCACTACGTCGGCGTTCCTATTCCTGCAGGGCTATTAATAGACAGGTCATCAGTCTGGGCTAGGCTAGATTAGCCATCATGACCTGGTCTTACCTAGATGGTGTCATGACGCACAGGAAAGCATAAGGCTCAACCAAAAAGGAGCTGGCACGTGGCATACTGTGTCAGATCAGAGGCGAAAAGACCAAAATGTCCTTGCTGACACACGACTTGAGAAAGCAAGTATTTAATGCACCTTTCCCTTGATGAGACAGCATTTAATGCGTGAAGACCCGGAAGTGAAAGACAAGGAATGATCCTCTGACAGAGCATTTAATATATCTCAGCTGAGTAAAGGTCATTAAATGCTCAACAGACCGAGGGTGATGCATTGGTTGCTCGGGGTCCCGAGCAGTTAAGGAAGAAGTCATTTCTTCTAAAAACCAGGGTGCACGTTACCCGTCTCTAATGATCACCTATTGACCATACTGACAGCAATCATGAGTTTTTAAGGTATAAATATTCTTCACAAAACGCATGATGAGGTACGTAAAAAAACCTTTTCTCAAACTTATACACAGTGTTTTATTCTTCCCTTCTCTCAAAGAACTGACTTGATCATCGGAGGGGATACGCCGAAAAATACTCCGGTGCCCTCCTAACTCGTTTTTCTCTGTTCTAAGAATCTTCCCTAGCCTTACATGACCACCCCGGTGACCCACAAAAGTCACTCATTACCGTTCCAGGCTACCACCGGTCCTCACAGTCTGTTCCGCTTAGCAAAGTTAATCATTCGATTGACTAACTCGTGTTCACCAAGGGAGAGATCTGTTCTCGTGTTTATATTATGCAAGATCATGCACGCACACAATTAATTCCACATGAAAAAATGTAATTGATTTGATTTCTATAATCGTTCACATCTCTCCTACAAATCGGTACATGACAAGCTTGTGCCATCGCTAAATGAACAAAGAATCGCCAACAAGAAAATTGTCGAGAAGTAACGAGGCAAAGAGTAGAGAGAGGAGAGTCATCTCTTGGACATTGAGGCCTGCAGTGCATTAACATGTTAAATTTTGAGGCAGCAGCAACCCATGTTGAAATTCTTCATTTTAAATGTTAATATTTCCTATTTTTCCACGTTTCATAGACAAATTTACAGAAATCCATTATTTCACATACAAATTTATAGAAATCCATTATAAAAGCTCCAATGATATTTATGTTGGAGAGAAAAATCTTGGAGGTGAATATCACAAAGATTATAAACATTGCTGGAGACATTAGCTTCCTGCAACTCAAGGGCGGAGACCCAAAATTTAAGATAAAATATTAGGCCCACATTACCCAAAATCTAAGATAAAAATATTAGGTCCACATTATTTACTCAAAAGAATTAAAAAATTAAGCCCATTTAAAATAAAAAAATTTGCGCCCACTACTATCTACCAAAACTTATTAAAAAATTAAATTTTTGACTTATCACAACTCACCCAAACCTATTAAAAAAATAAAATTTTTGACCCACCATTAAAAAGTAACGTTTTTTGCCCACTTGACAAACATCATCAACACATTTTGGACATGTTATGTATATAAAGGCCAAAGTGATAAAATGATAGTGTATATAAAAAATAATAAAATTATTAAGCAACGGTTTCAAAGTATGAAAATTGACCGGAGTCAATTCTAAATAATTTTAATTAGCCTACATTTTGTAAAAAAAAAAAATTGGTGTCGTTTGTATATACTAAGCTTACCAAATTTTTATATGTTGGATTTAATGAACTTTTAAGTATTAAATAGGATGTAAATAAATATAAATTATTGTCCTATTTTTATTGATGGTAAAAAAAAAATTTGAGACACATAACTCTTCAGGACATCACAGCAACTTGTCTGGTTAGCTATCACACTGCCACATTCTCTTGAAACATTTTTGTTCTCATGAAAGACCAGTGGACATTCTGGAAGAGAATAAAAAATAGGAAGCAAAACAAATCAACTGGTTAGCAGGGGGAAGAAAAACAAATCAATTGCAAATCATCCTGGTGGAATCATCTAGTGATTGGTCACGATACTTCACACCACTGTGTCAGAGGGTGAATGGGCTTAATAGTTCACTCTTCATCTTATACTTCAGATTAGATTCAAATGAAGCATTTATTTTCTTTTTGCAGAAAAACCAAAAAGCTGTCATGGTTCAAGCTCTGATATCTAGTGGGAAGCCTGATTCTGAAAAGCTATAGACCTCTTTTTATTTGGTTCTCTGTTTAATCTTCATTCACTTACCTTGTTTATGTTGCAACAAGAAAGTCCTCTGAGAAACCTATTTGCAGAAGAAGGATCAAGTTTACTGGCAAGCCATCGTAGGACAATACTCTTACAATCATTAATCATAATTGAGTTCTCAGCCAAGACACGATCTCCGTTTGAACTCGCCATACTATAATTCTTCAAAGCAATTTTTTCAGCGGCGTCTGATATGGGGTTTTGACAAACTTGGTTGCAACACTCATCGACGAAATCAATTTTTTCGCAAGCAGCCAGAAGTCTAGAGGAATCCACAGTGCTGTCCATCTCCTTAACATCTACAATCGGGCAAGAAGCCTCAGTGAGGTTTGATGGATACATAGAGCATATCTCGTGAAGATTCTCACTGGCACCTTGACCCTCCAAGACCTGTTCAACATCTGAGAGGCAGTGCTTGGCATCAGTCAAGTTCAAAGCAAGCGGCTGAGAGTAAATACTGGAATGACCTATAAGAATCACTAGAGTGGCATCAAACTGAGGGCAGCATACCACATTGGCCATATATGGAGCAAGCAAAGCCCAGCAATCAGTTGCTGTTATGCTCAATATACTTTCAGCTGCTGAAAAATTCAATGGACAGAGTCCTGAAAGAGCAAAAGTACCATCAAGTAATGTGAGGTTACCATCACTTTTAGTTGATTCTCTAAAATCAGGAAACTTTGAAAGACACGACTGTTCAACGTCAATTTTTCCCTTCCTTGGAAAGTAATTTCCATTCATTGACATTATATTAGAGCACGAATTGGCACCCCGTTTAGGATTAGCTGTTTAGCAAACTAATAGACAAAAGTAATATAACAATTTTACATTAAGCTTTGCTACTGCATATTAGTATGCAAACTCATAGAGCAATATATTAGATTTAGGACCAAATGAGGCTTATAGATTGAAAAAGCACATGCAGCATTATATGAAGACATTTTTTTGTTCCAGTTTACACATTAGGCACATACTAATTTGAAGCTTTCTAACTGTGTGGCTGAAGGAGAACCTCATCCAAATCTGGGCATTTCCTTATATCTGATAGGTTCTAACATTTATCCTTACTTCTCCATTGGACAGCTTCAGAACATGACCATGAAACCGCACTAGTCAATAACTTAAAAACAATTTATTTTCTCTGTAATAAGGGCATGTACATATTACCTGATAATTTTGGCACACTATAATTTGTGAGTGGCATCAGTGGTGAAGGAGGTAGGACTGGAAGAAATGGTTGAGGGTCCACGCTTGGGGAAATATCAGGACCATATGGGCTGCAATGTGAACTATGCAAACCGGCACCACGCACATACATTAAGTTTGAGGAGGTGATGCTGTATAGATTGCATAGGCCAGAGAGTATGAAATGCAGCTTTAAATGTTATGAATATTGAGTTGATATTTGTGCATTGATGTATAGATAATCTATAGAATCAGTGTTTTATAATCTGCGTAATTCTTAGTTGTTAATGATACTAAACTGCTCGTAGTTTTGGCTAATTTAGTCATATTTGTTCAGTAATATTTGAATTCTTTCCACCAAAACTACAGCATTCTTAGGCCTCAATAGATCATCTGAAAAGAGTGAGTACCCATTGTTTTATAAGATTAATCCCAAATGAGTAACATGGTAACCCAAATAATTCCATCATAATTCACCTAAAGCACTCGATAGTCATGCTGAAAGTATTCCACTTATATTCGATTCGCTTTTTAATTCGTGTATAACAAATAGTATTATGTCGGGTTTTTATCACATGTGAATTGAATATAATAGATATATAAATGAATCGTATTGTATATTTAGTTTAATTGATTTCATTCATACTCAAATTTTTTATTAATCGGATCATATCATTTCTATTCATTTATGAAATAAGTAACTTAAGCAAAAGTCTAAAACACTATAATTTCGTGTAGTGTTCATGTTGTGTTAACGATATTACTGACTCACCTAATTTCAATCATGTTTGGAGACCCGTGATTGCCATGAGTTTTGCATTGAATTCGAACTTCCACCATTTGCAACTACCATAAACGGGCGGGTCCAAATCTAGTCGGACCTCAAATCGAATTTCAATTTAGGTTTGATTTCGGGGCGGGGAGGATGGGCTTAGGGCTTATCCAACCTGATTTACTGTCCCAGATATGGGNATAAGAGAAGAAAAGACAGAAGAGCGGAGAGAAGGAAAGTACAATGACTCACCAGAACTTGAACAAAGGTTTTCTTCAAAACTTGGAGTGGTTCCTTCCTCCAGGAGGTTCAGAAGCAAGGATGGGTCTGCTGGCCTTAAGACTCCGGTGAAGATTGGTTTGTAGACAATGTAAGGAAGTGGGTCTCTGGCGAGATTTCAGGCAAGGGCTCTCTAAAGAGTTCGAAATGGCGAAGTGTGAGAAGGAGAGAGAGAACCCATTTATATAGTACCCATCCCCATCATTGNCCACTTTAACTTAAAGTGATAGTGTAAGCTTGGACTGAGTTCGGATCAGCCTATTTTATCATTTGGGTTAATTACACAAGAGGTCCCAAAAGTATAGAATTTGTCTCATTTTAGTCCCTAATATTTCAGTTGCATCATTTTAGTCCCTGAAGTTTTGAATATATTTTTACGTGGTCCCTCTAGCAAACAACGTCAAAATTCTTAACAATTTTTTATTATAAACTTATCACATGATACNAGTGCGCACGACCTCCTAAGCAGAGGAAAGCGGCTAGAGGCAATGATGAAGTGGTTGGGGTAGTTGCAGAACCCTTCCTCTCCTTACGACGCTTGTCCTCGGAGTCAGAAGATCGAAGGTTGGGGGCAGTTGATGGGACATTTTTCGGACACTCCAAGATAGCGACACGTGTACTCGGTGTCAAGAAATACTCTCNCTCTTGACCAAATGTTTATCTAAATTTTAGTCAAAGAGTTACCAAAATTACACAATTTTGATCACGAGCTATCTAAATTTTGATCAAAAACTACTCATATTACACATTTTTTTGTCAAGAGCAACTCAANTTGTCGGATCATGATCCCTTTTCCCCCGAGATGGTACTATGCATAAGGATCTACGACGTCGGTATGCACGGACGACATGTATTCCTTGGTCGATTGGGGGGTGGGTACATCGACCCTGACTGTACTAGGCCCTCGGCACCGATGTGTACCCACTACGTCGGCGTTCCTATTCCTGCAGGGCTATTAATAGACAGGTCATCAGTCTGGGCTAGGCTAGATTAGCCATCATGACCTGGTCTTACCTAGATGGTGTCATGACGCACAGGAAAGCATAAGGCTCAACCAAAAAGGAGCTGGCACGTGGCATACTGTGTCAGATCAGAGGCGAAAAGACCAAAATGTCCTTGCTGACACACGACTTGAGAAAGCAAGTATTTAATGCACCTTTCCCTTGATGAGACAGCATNAGGGGAGCTGGCACGTGGAATACTGTGTCAGATCAGAGGCGAAAAGACCAGAATGTCCTTGCTGACACACGACTTGGGAAAACAAGTATTTAATGCACCTTTCCCTTGATGAGACAACATTTAATGCGTGAAGACCCGGAAGTGAAAGACAAGGAATGATCCTCTGACAGAGCATTTAATATATCCCAGCCGAGTAAAGGTCATTAAATGCTCAACAGACCGAGGGTGATGCATTGGTTGCTCGAGGTCCCGAGCAGTTAAGGAAGAAGTCATTTCTCTTAAAAATCAGGGTGCACGTTACCCGCCTCTAATGATCACCTATTGACCATACTGACAGCAATCATGAGTTTTTAAGGTATAAATATTCTTCACAAAACGCATGATGAGGTACGTAAAAAAACCTTTTCTCAAACTTATACACAGTGTTTTATTCTTCCCCTCTCTCAAAGAACTGACTTGATCATCGGAGGGGATACGCCGAAAAATACTCCGGTGCCTTCCTAACTCGTTTTTCTCTGTTCTAGGAATCTTCCCTAGCCTTACATGACCACCCCGGTGACCCACAAAAGTCACCCATTACCGTTCTAGGCTACCACCGGTCCTCACAGTCTGTTCTGCTTAGCAAAGTTGATCATTCGATTGACTGACTCGTGTTCACCAAGAGAGAGATCTGTTCTCGTGTTTATATTATGCAAGATCATGCACGCACACAATTAATTCCACATGAAAAAATGTAATTGATTTGATTTCTATAATCGTTCACATCTCTCCTACAAATCGGTACATGACAAGCTTGTGCCATCGCTAAATGAACAAAGAATCGCCAACAAGAAAATTGTCGAGAAGTAACGAGGCAAAGAGTAGAGAGAGGAGAGTCATCTCTTGGACATTGAGGCCTGCAGTGCATTAACATGTTAAATTTTGAGGCAGCAGCAACCCATGTTGAAATTCTTCATTTTAAATGTTAATATTTCCTATTTTTCCACGTTTCATAGACAAATTTACAGAAATCCATTATTTCACATACAAATTTATAGAAATCCATTATAAAAGCTCCAATGATATTTATGTTGGAGAGAAAAATCTTGGAGGTGAATATCACAAAGATTATAAACATTGCTGGAGACATTAGCTTCCTGCAACTCAAGGGCGGAGACCCAAAATTTAAGATAAAATATTAGGCCCACATTACCCAAAATCTAAGATAAAAATATTAGGTCCACATTATTTACTCAAAAGAATTAAAAAATTAAGCCCATTTAAAATAAAAAAATTTGCGCCCACTACTATCTACCAAAACTTATTAAAAAATTAAATTTTTGACTTATCACAACTCACCCAAACCTATTAAAAAAATAAAATTTTTGACCCACCATTAAAAAGTAACGTTTTTTGCCCACTTGACAAACATCATCAACACATTTTGGACATGTTATGTATATAAAGGCCAAAGTGATAAAATGATAGTGTATATAAAAAATAATAAAATTATTAAGCAACGGTTTCAAAGTATGAAAATTGACCGGAGTCAATTCTAAATAATTTTAATTAGCCTACATTTTGTAAAAAAAAAAATTTGGTGTCGTTTGTATATACTAAGCTTACCAAATTTTGATATGTTGGATTTAATGAACTTTTAAGTATTAAATAGGATGTAAATAAATATAAATTATTGTCCTATTTCTATTGATCGTAAAAAAAAAATTTGAGACACATAACTCTTCAGGACATCACAGCAACTTGTCTGGTTAGCTATCACACCGCCACATTCTCTTGAAACATTTTTGTTCTCATGAAAGACCAGTGGACATTCTGGAAGAGAATAAAAAATAGGAAGCAAAACAAATCAACTGGTTAGCAGGGGGAAGAAAAACAAATCAATTGCAAATCATCCTGGTGGAATCATCTAGTGATTGGTCACGATACTTCACACCACTGTGTCAGAGGGTGAATGGGCTTAATAGTTCACTCTTCATCTTATACTTCAGATTAGATTCAAATGAAGCATTTATTTTCTTTTTGCAGAAAAACCAAAAAGCTGTCATGGTTCAAGCTCTGATATCTAGTGGGAAGCCTGATTCTGAAAAGCTATAGACCTCTTTTTATTTGGTTCTCTGTTTAATCTTCATTCACTTACCTTGTTTATGTTGCAACAAGAAAGTCCTCTGAGAAACCTATTTGCAGAAGAAGGATCAAGTTTACTGGCAAGCCATCGTAGGACAATACTCTTACAATCATTAATCATAATTGAGTTCTCAGCCAAGACACGATCTCCGTTTGAACTCACCATACTATAATTCTTCAAAGCAATTTTTTCAGCAGCGTCTGATATGGGGTTTTGACAAACTTGGTTGCAACACTCATCGACGAAATCAATTTTTTCGCAAGCAGCCAGAAGTCTAGAGGAATCCACAGTGCTGTCCATCTCCTTAACATCTACAATCGGGCAAGAAGCCTCAGTGAGGTTTGATGGATACATAGAGCATATCTCGTGAAGATTCTCACTGGCACCTTGACCCTCCAAGACCTGTTCAACATCTGAGAGGCAGTGCTTGGCATCAGTCAAGTTCAAAGCAAGCGGCTGAGAGTAAATACTGGAATGACCTATAAGAATCACTAGAGTGGCATCAAACTGAGGGCAGCATACCACATTGGCCATATATGGAGCAAGCAAAGCCCAGCAATCAGTTGCTGTTATGCTCAATATACTTTCAGCTGCTGAAAAATTCAATGGACAGAGTCCTGAAAGAGCAAAAGTACCATCAAGTAATGTGAGGTTACCATCACTTTTAGTTAATTCTCTAAAATCAGGAAACTTTGAAAGACACGACTGTTCAACGTCAATTTTTCCCTTCCTTGGAAAGTAATTTCCATTCATTGACATTATATTAGAGCACGAATTGGCACCCCGTTTAGGATTAGCTGTTTAGCAAACTAATAGACAAAAGTAATATAACAATTTTACATTAAGCTTTGCTACTGCATATTAGTATGCAAACTCATAGAGCAATATATTAGATTTAGGACCAAATGAGGCTTATAGATTGAAAAAGCACATGCAGCATTATATGAAGACATTTTTTTGTTCCAGTTTACACATTAGGCACATACTAATTTGAAGCTTTCTAACTGTGTGGCTGAAGGAGAACCTCATCCAAATCTGGGCATTTCCTTATATCTGATAGGTTCTAACATTTATCCTTACTTCTCCATTGGACAGCTTCAGAACATGACCATGAAACCGCACTAGTCAATAACTTAAAAACAATTTATTTTCTCTGTAATAAGGGCATGTACATATTACCTGATAATTTTGGCACACTATAATTTGTGAGTGGCATCAGTGGTGAAGGAGGTAGGACTGGAAGAAATGGTTGAGGGTCCACGCTTGGGGAAATATCAGGACCATATGGGCTGCAATGTGAACTATGCAAACCGGCACCACGCACATACATTAAGTTTGAGGAGGTGATGCTGTATAGATTGCATAGGCCAGAGAGTATGAAATGCAGCTTTAAATGTTATGAATATTGAGTTGATATTTGTGCATTGATGTATAGATAATCTATAGAATCAGTGTTTTATAATCTGCATAATTCTTAGTTGTTAATGATACTAAACTGCTCGTAGTTTTGGCTAATTTAGTCATATTTGTTCAGTAATATTTGAATTCTTTCCACCAAAACTACAGCATTCTTAGGCCTCAATAGATCATCTGAAAAGAGTGAGTACCCATTGTTTTATAAGATTAATCCCAAATGAGTAACATGGTAACCCAAATAATTCCATCATAATTCACCTAAAGCACTCGATAGTCATGCTGAAAGTATTCCACTTATGTTCGATTCGCTTTTTAATTCGTGTATAACAAATAGTGTTATGTCGGATTTTTATCACATGTGAATTGAATATAATAGGTATATAAATGAATCGTATTGTATATTTAGTTTAATTGATTTCATTCACACTCAAATTTTTTATTAATCGGATCATATTATTTTTATTCATTTATGAAATAAGTAACTTAAGCAAAAGCCTAAAACACTATAATTTCGTGTAGTGTTCATGTTGTGTTAACGATATTACAGACACACCTAATTTCAATCATGTTTGGAGACCCGTGATTGCCATGAGTTTTGCATTGAATTCGAACTTCCACCATTTGCAAACTACCATAAACGGGCGGGTCCAAATCTAGCCGGACCTCAAATCGAATTTCAATTTAGGTTTGATTTCGGGGCGGGGAGGATGGGCTTAGGGCTTATCCAACCTGATTTNAGACAAAATTAAATATGATGTTAGAATAATACGTAATTTTATCTAATATTTGACAATAAACAATATACGTGTTGGATAGTAATTATTTAATCCAATTAATTGTTTAATTAAAAAATTATTTCATCGTATTAATGTTGAATTAACAAAAATACCCTCAATCAGTATTTGTTACATTGAGGACAACTTGAATTTATCACTTTTAGGATTATAATAGTAATTGTGTAGAATAATACGTTTAAGTTGGATTATAATACCACTTCTTTTTGTGNAGGACAACTTGAATTTATCACTTTTAGGATTATAATAGTAATTGTGTAGAATAATACGTTTAAGTTGGATTATAATACCACTTCTTTTTGTGGTATTAAAAAACTTTCATAATACAGGTTTATCGTATAAAAAATGTAAGATAAGTATACGTTTTTGAAATTAATACGGTATCAAATTTGTTTACGTCTGTTTTATAATCCAGGCTAATTTATTTTTTATTATGTTAAGTCAAAACGTACGTCTAATTTTTTTATTTATTTTTATTTTGCAAAAAGGGTGGGCCACAATTCACTAAAAATATCAACAAAAAAAATTATATATATATATATATATATATATATATATAAGTTACCAAAAAATGTATAGATTTCCCCTCGACCCTTAGTGCCTCCGCCCATGTTCTTCATCCAGATACTCGGCGTAATAACCGGCAACTCATGTGCTTTACTCCACCCTTCTCTCTATATATCACCATCCATTTACTCTCTCTCTCTGAGTATACTTTCTTTTCTTTCATCAATCTCTGCAGTGCTAGAATGGGGAATTGCTTGATGACCAAAAAAATTCTAGCACAAGATGAAGAAGATGAGGCCCAAAGGTGTGCAGAAGTGATGGAAGGGACGAAATCGGCAACGTCATCGACGTTAGGAGCAGTACGGCCAATCGGTGGTGGTAAGGCAAAGACGGTAAGGTTCAGAACACTGGAAGGAGACGCGGACGACAGAGAAAGATGCGGTAAAACAAAAGGTGGGGTTGTGAGGATCAGACTTGTGGTGACCCAAAACGAATTGTGTCATATTTTGAACACCGAGTCGAAGTATACTTCTGTGGAGCAATTGTTGGGTGCAATGAAGCTGAGTAGTAGTAGAAGAGTCTCTCATCAAGGTAGAACAAGTGATGAAGGGATGAGCAGCACTTGGAAGCCAGCTCTAGAAAGCATCCCAGAGGACCGTTAATGGCTAGCTCTCTTTCTCTCTCTCCAGATCACAGTACATCGTTTTAAGTTGGTACTAGTGCGAAGGTTAGAAGAAGCGTTCTCCTTTACTTTGTGAAGCTATTCAAGTTCTTTTGTTGTCTACTCCTACGCATTGTAACATCATCATCATCCCTACAGTAGCAAGCTGGTCCTATCATTTAATATCACTATCAGATTCGGATATGATCCGTCCAATTTTTTCAATTTTCTTGAATGGTATATCAGTCGTGTCGTAAATTCGAATGAGATCCACTTTATTTAAATTGATTCAACCAACACGATGGGTGATCCAACATTGATAGAAACCAAAATGTAAATCGGTGGCATTGGCAACTTACCGTTTGCTCATTCACGGTTTAAGTTGAAAAAGCAAACTATGTCACGGTAGGAGTGCAATTTGAACAGATCAACTTGAATTCAGCCTAAAAAAAATAGGGTTTGAGTTGGATTTGAGTTGAAAAACTTCAACCTAAATTAAATTCAATTTTTTATTAAATTTAAGTTGATCAAACTATTACATCATGCTCTCAATTNATAGGGTTTGAGTTGGATTTGAGTTGAAAAACTTCAACCTAAATTGAATTCAATTTTTTATTAAATTTAAGTTGATCAAACTATTACATCATGCTCTCAATTGAACCCAAATTATGAGTCTGAATTAGTTAATTTGAACCAATTCAAATTGAGCCCGAAATTAATTTTACCAATACTCGGATTGAGTACCTCAAATTAAAAGTTAGGCTTGAATTGAATTAGAATTGAAAGCTTTTCAATTTCGCTTAGGCCTAAATTGATCCTTTAACTCGCTAAATCTACCCAACCCCTTGAGTTGCACCCCTAAATGGTTTAAACAGATGGAGGATATTCCCTTCACTATACTGTCTATTAATGAAAAATTATGTAATTTACGACAGAGAAAAANTGAAAGTTAGGCTTGAATTGAATTAGAATTGAAAGCTTTTCAATTTCGCTTAGGCCTAAATTGATCCTCTAACTCGCTAAATCTACCCAACCCCTTGAGTTGCACCCCTAAATGGTTTAAACAGATGGAGGATAATCCCTTCACTATACTGTCTATTAATGAAAAATTATGTAATTTACGACAGAGAAAAAATATATTCGATGAGATTTGCATACTATAAAGCTATGACATTTTCATGCCACTGAAAACACCATGGCAGACGAATTTTAGGGTCTGTCTGGATTTGTTCTAAAAAACCAGTATCCAAAATCATATTTTCAAGAAGAGTTTTAGGAAAGTAGATTTTGATTTTTGTGTATCCCAAAACATGTTTGGTTATATGATTTTGAAAATAGTTTTAAAAGATAATAAAACATGTTTGGACAATGATCAAAAAATAATAAAAATATAGAATGTAATTTGAATTAACTCTGACAAAAATCTTTTAAAAAAGAGCACAACAATAAGGGCCGGGGGTGAGGTGTGCTACCATGGTTTTCTTTNGCCAATGATCAAAAAATAATAAAAATATAGAATGTAATTTGAATTAACTCTCTGACAAAAATCTTTTAAAAAAGAGCACAACAATAAGGGCCGGGGGTGAGGTGNAGGCCGTTGCAAATGTCCGGGAGAATAGAGATGAACGAAGATATACATATATGACTCCAAAATTGCAGACAAAGTACGTCCTCTACTATCACATTTATCTTTACACGGGCAAAAAAAAACAAAAGAATTCGATCTAAAGGGATAACAAGTGTTCATCTATTTAATCATTGAAGTTTTCGTGCTAACGATAAGATTGTTTACAATTTTCTCTCTACTAAATCCTGTTATCGTGGGGATCATTGAATTGGATATCACCTTTGGTGAGTTAATAACATATATCTACTATATAATACAGTAAAATGATTTTGAATTTTGAAGATAAAGAGTGATTCAGATCGTTTTATGACTAAAAAAAACATTATCCAACAGAAGAAGTTATCATAAACTGTCTCAAGCTATTAACGTCTCAGATCGTTTCGATCTGACATACTAGAATAACTCTTAAAGCCTTTTTGCCATTCAAAATTTTTAATTTTCAAAATTAATATCTCTAAAGTTTAATTCTCTCGAATCTTTTCTTAAATTCAAGCAAATCCTGATTTTGGACTCTCTCCCTCTCTCTTTCATTCTCTCTGTATCTCTCTGAAGTTCAATTCACGCACACAGACACACCTCTGTCACTCACGCTAAATTCACTCGCACCGCAATTCACGCTATTGTCTCTATCCCCCTTCCCCATCTCTCTCTCTCTCTCCTCAAAATTTCATTCCCTTATTTCCCACCCAACTCATGCCCTAAAGGCTTCCCAAAATCATACTCAAGATCCCCTAAAATTGACTTTCCAAACTTGCTGCAAATCTCCGAAAAAATCCACCCAATTTATGCCCTAATGGCTTCCCAAAATCAAAGTCAAGAACCCTTAAACTGTTGCTCTCTTCTCCTGTTCTCCAGGTAATCCGTGTCTCTCTCCACAATCTTCCATTTCTACAAGCTCCCACTAGCCCAACACCAACCAACCATGGACCCGCCTTCATCCACCACCGATGTAATTTTTTCACCAGATTTGGTACTTTTTGAAATGCTCCGTAAGTTATGACTGGCCACTATATTTCTTTGGCTTCATGATTGTAAGTGATGCATACTAGATTGGTTAATATTTGATTGTTTCGCAAAATCGATTGTACTTTTTCTCTAGTTTTAGTGTGTTTTCTTGCTCATTGACTTTGCTTAAATAGTCTTGTGTTCCCCATTTTGAAATCCACATCTTCTATAATTAGGCATTGGCACTGCACATATTTCATTGTATTAGGTTGATGTGGCTAAATAAGGTGGTTTCACATATTTTGCATTCATTTCTATCTTTTTTTAATGAAAAACTTCATTAATGTCTACATGTACTCCTTTTGATTTATTTGCAGGTTTAACATGCATTCTTAAATCCGAAATTTGGAATGATAGACATAATCTCACTTACAGCAACTTCATTGACAATGAAAAGTAATTTACTATTTAACTAATTTTTGCCTTCTCATAAATATGCCGCTGCTTTATGATCTCAAGGCTTTCAAGTACACCATTGATTTGTTTCTCGAGAGGTATAAAGTAATAAAGACACATATATTGTTGTTTGACCATCATTAATTATCACAAACATAAATCTCGAGTGTGATGAATTGTGCGTTAAAAGATGTAGTTTTATGCGTTTGCCACCTCGAATAATATTGTTTTTGTGGGTGTGGGTGTGGGTGTGGGCGTCATTAATTGTATAGTCTCTAATTAATGTTGTTCTAAGATAAATTAGGGCTTCTAGGTTTTTGTAGGTCTAACAGGACTGAAGATAAGATAGTGGTGTACGATAGTTTTACTTTGTAGTGGAGTTGTTCAAGGTTTACCGGCAATTGACATCCTTGGCTATGTTACTACTGCAGTAAGGTGTTATAACTAAGCACTTGGTATCCTTTGTGTGGTTTCTATTGGTTTATAGGTGGGTCTTGCTTTCCCTATTTCACCTATTGCATTGAATTCCACATCTTCTATAATTAGTCATTGGCACTGCACATATTTTCTTGATTTTTTTCCTTGGGTTATGTACAATCTTCTAGCAAATTATCTACTAATGACTCGGGTTGGTTTTTCAATGTATTCAAGGATTGTCAAGTCTTCAGATCCCTTCACTGGCATATGAGTTATAAATATGAAGCATTTTGAATGGTATTTTCGGCAATGTGGATTGATGTCATTATAATAATAAGGTTCGACATTGTTTTGACGACTTTTCAAGTAGTATTCCGAACGAAATGGTGGTGAGCACAAGGGCCACCATTTTTGGATGTCTTCTTGACAGTGTAGACAAACCATGTATGTGAAGGTGGTGATAAGTATGGTGGCGGAAGACTTATAGATATCCTACCATGATTATTTAAACAGAAAAAGAAATGAGGTGGAGGTGGAGGCGGAGGTGTTAAATGGTAGCGATTTTTTGGGCATAGGGAAGGCATGCTCAGTGTAATTTTAGATGACAAGGTATTTTTTCCACTTTCTTTTTTTTTTATATTTTTCTTTGTAATTGGTTTTGAGCAAATCTCCTATTTGTAACCCTATTGTAAGGGGTAAGGTTGTACTTCCCCCGGTTTCTTTGGAAGTATTTTTATTAATAAAATTTCACCTCACTAAGATGAGGGTTTTTTTAGGATTTACTTTTTTATAGAAACTTTTAGGGTGCGATAAGAAAGTATATAAATTGTTAATATAGATTTCTGTTTTCATAAGATCTTATTTTTAGAGAAAATTATGTTGAAATGTTTTGAATTTATTAGGTCAAAAAACTTATTGGGCCTCCTAAACGGAATATTTGTATTATTAGGTCGACTTTTTTTATTACGTCGTGCCTTCAGACACGAGCATTAGCTAATATACTAAGGGGTTGTTTGGTATGTGGGTTTAGGGGGGGAGAGTTTGGAAACATGGGTTGGGGAGTAAATCCCCTTAAACCCATGTTTGACAACTATGAAGAACGGAAAGGATTTCAAACTCGGCCCAGTCATGTCCCGGTCATGAAACCCACATACTTGGGTTTCATGAAACCCAAGGGGGGTGGGTTTTATTTGTGGGTTTAAGGGTTTAACATGCAAATAACATTTATATCCTTATATATCATATATACTTCATATATACAAATTGATTATGGGGCACAATAATTATTCATATATAAATATATTATTATTATAGTCATATATTCTTGCACATATCAAATATAGATATAGACAATATTAAATATTGAATCTCATCTTTAAATCTCAACTTTGAATCAAACTCAAATTTAAACAATTCAATCCAAAATCCACTCAAAAAACAAACCAAACAGGCCTAAATGTTTGGCATCAATATTGGTCATCTTCACATGTGAAGAAGCCTCTTACAACATTTCGTAAGAAATAAGTAATCTGAGCTACCTAAGTACGTACGTACGTACCTAAAC